TCAAATCTTCCTAATATCAACTCTGGACTAACAATTTATCATTTTATCACTTATTTAAAACTAGATAAATGTTTTTACAACAAACAAAAAATGGCCGAAATGCTCTCATTCTCGTTTGCACTGCTGTTGCAGTCTGAGGCAAGAGTCTTCCTGAATCAAGTAGATCGTCTCGATAATAACATAGGACGATTCGAAAGTTATGCGTGGGTTGAGGTAATTATGAAAAATATATGAATATAAATGTGTATAAATACCCACAATAAATTAAAAGCGATTTGTACGTTGGACTTGCAACAAACAACTTGCTAAAATATTAGCTGTAAAATTTTTTAGAAATAGCGCATGGCAACAAAAAGTCAGCTTGAGTAAATTATTGTAATTCAAAATTATTTTTTTGCTTTTTGTTTGGCTTTTAGTTTTTTTGTATGCTTATTTGTGATTCCTTTTCCTTGAATTTTATGCGCCTCTTGGTGTTAATGGCCAACTGAAACAAAACAAAAGCGAGTAAATATTACTCGCGTTGCACATGTACGCTGATGGGTTGGTGATTTTTTGTTTGGTTTTCTTTAAATATATACTTTAATAAGAATATTAAATTTTCTGTTTATTTTTGTTTGTTTGTTTTTGTGTTGGTTAGATTTTTATTTTTTTTTGTTTAGGGCCATTACCTACAATTTCCGATAGTATTGTTGATGCGTTGCGTTTTGATGATTTTATTTAAACGTCGTATGTTGCATTAGATTCCAGTTTGTGGTGTGTGAAATAAATAATGTTAGGCTTACGAAGTACCTAGATCAATTATATGCTTTTGCGGAACGAATTCAGCGGCCAGAGGATTTAGAATGGAATGCTCTACATTGCATTCGCTCACAGCGAGCGAGGATAATGCTGCATTTAATTCTTCCGTCTTTGCTTTCTGCCACTCAGCCAATTCAGCTTCGAGCTCGTCCTCAAGCATTGCCTCAATGCACTCTTTCATAATGTCCTCTTCTTCGAGACGTTTCAATTCATTCTTATCGAACTCTTCTTCATTCTCCATCCACAAGTACTCGGAGAAATCCTGTTCATCTTCCAAATCTGATAGGGAATCATCCTCCTCCACTACATATTCAAATTGGTCAGACCAATCATTTGAAGGAACTTTCACAATCATTTTGTTTGTCAGTTTTTGTTTGAAGCTTTTACAAACCAGAACTTTTGTAAATCCGCTTATATCTGCTAAAATGCCAAAGAATTGCTGCTTCAAAAATTGCACTGAAAATTTTTCAATAATTCGTTAACACTACAAATTTATTAAAAATTATACACAAAAAATTTGACGTCCACACGTACAAAATCTTGTAGCTCGTACCGACCATGATACAAAAAAAGAAGGTAGTTTCATTTAATGACATTCGTTGTTGTTGCTAACCATTTGACTTTTAATAAAATTATGACATTTCATCAAATTCATGCTACCTGATTACTAGAAGAAATATATTTTTTTAAGCAGAAGATTTTATCAGTACATTCAAAGATGTGGAATATGATGAACTAGAAAATTATGCCGGCTAAATGATTTCGCAAATGGGGTTGACGACTAGGTTTCAGAACGCATGAAGAAAGTGTAACTGCAAAACCGCGTAACTGACATTTTTTTCAAAAAATTGGATTTGCTCACACAAGCTCTTGGCTCAACCCTTATCCAATCGTCCTGAAATGGGATTTCTTTGTAAAAAAGAGAACCATTTTGAAATGTGAGTGTTTTTACTCTCTTCTAAATAATTTATGCAACCTCACATACGCAGTTGTGCATTTTGTTGGTACACGGTTTTGTACTTTAAACGACGATCTGTTAGCTGTTTATCGGAGGGCGGTCTGTTCAAGCCGACTTCAGGTGTTTTGCATAAATTGAAAATTTGTGAAATTTAATGATGCTAAAAGCCTAATTTTTTGCAAAATCTGATGAGAAATTTAAAAGCAAACTTGAACCTAAATATAAAAAGGTTTTATTTGGGAAGAACATTCTTTAGAATTTGATTTTTAAATCGCAAGATTGCATTAAAAAAAAAAAAAACAGAAAAATGCGCGCGTGGTTTTTATTACAAAATGAAAAGAACAATTACGATGAAGTCTCCTTTAACAGTACCAAGTACTGATAATGGTTTTTGATTTGAAATGTTATTACATTAGTATAAATATGGGAAAGAAAATACTCCGATTTATTGTTTTAATATCATCAAAGTGGCAAGGCCGTTGATAATACTCACAAATTATGAAACTTCAAAAAATTTTATTATCCGTCAAAAGTTGTTTATTGAAACTACCTTCTTTTTTGTATCATGGTACCGACCATGGTGGAATTATACAAGGTGTTGTACGTAGTGACAGCTCATGTCGACGGCTCCCTTAGAAAAGGTTGTAATATGGAAGCACTAGAGAAACGGGAAGAAAAAAAGCCCGCTTTGCGAAGTAGTACGAAATTTGGTACTATTTTTCATATCAAATTTTGCATACAAATAGCTACAAACGGTATATTATAAGCTAAATTCGCGAAAGTAGTATATATTACGTACTACTTATGCAATAAATGGTAATTTAGTTTATTAAACACAATGTCCTATAATTATAGTCAAACTTCCAAAACCAAAAAATTAGGGGTGACCCCGAGTCGTTACAACATGACGGAATCGACAAAAGGGCGCATCGACGGATGGGGAGAATATTTCATCGTACAAAATGCCAACTAAAGATGTGGAGCTTGTATCGCAATGCAAGCTGCGACCGTTCTGAACTGAGATGCCAGACAAATGGTTTCTACAAATTGAGGCCACCTTTCAGTCGTACAAGACCACATCTTATGTCGGTAAATATAATCTGGTTCTCTCAGCAATTAGCAGCGATGCTTTAAAGGAAGCTGCGGATGTTTTAAAAACCTTACCAACTCAAGACCGATATATTAACCTCAAAAGTCAACTACTGTCACGTTTTACTGATTCAGCCGACCCACATAGGGTATTTGGCTGATTTAGGCGGCCAAAATTATTTTTATGAATATTTCAACTCGAAATGTTCAGAAAAGACGTGTTTTGATATTTAGAATTGTAAATGTTTAAAATCAAGTAAAGGAAGGGGAGGACGTCCCATTATTCCACCAAAACAAGAAACTTAACGTTTGACATCGATAGACTCCATGTTGCCGTGGTCCGATTGTAGGAGGACGCATACTTACGTGTTCGTATCTAGGTTGGAAGATTAAATGCATTGGTGCAATATGGGAATCGGAAATGGTTTTGAAAACGCTTTATTTTTAGCAACCTCCTAGGGTGGTCACCGGTTAAAAAAATCAGATTCCACTTTAATTTAGGGAATTAGATAATTCAAATATGTATCACAGTAAAAGTAAGAAAATGTAATAAAACTACATTTTTGTAATAATTACAGTAATATAACAGTCTTATTTATTGTTAAATGAATGTTGTAAGTATTAACTTGGAGTAAATTAGGGTCCACAATTACTGAAACATCGGCGTTTTCGTATTTTAAACGTATTGCTTTTCCATGCCAAGATAATTAAGTGCACCGAGTTTGGTATAAATTTATACAAATTGACAGCATCGCGACAATTGTGCACCCTACGTCGAATTTGTCCAAAAGCAAGTCAGACGCATTCTAAGCTAACCTGTTGAAGGATTACATAGAGATCACACTACGTGATGCTGCACCAAATGTCGATAGTGAAACAACCGTACACCACATTGTCACCAATGGTCCCCCAGTCCACGAGCGCCCACGCAAACTCACTGGTGAGAAGTTAAACGCCGCAAAAGAAGATTTTAATCTGTTGCTGCATCATAGGTGTCATAACACCTTCGAGCAATCAATGGACAAGTCCCATCCACATGATGCCCAAAGAGTCCGGTGGCTGGCGCACTGCAGGAGACTTTCGCTTAAAAATCAACATAAAAAAATTCCATATCGGTGGAAGTGAAGTAGTCTACTTAGGCTATTCTGTGAGCCAGCATTGTTACCAGCCTCCTGAGGAAAAAGTTATCCAAAGCCTCAAACAGTTGTTGACTCGCGCCGCTTCCTCGGTATTGTAAATTATTAAGGCCTGTATGCAGCTCTCAAGAAAAGCAAAAACTCCATATAAAATGACGTACAAGAAATGGCTAAGAAATTTTCTTGAGTCAAATTTCCTTAAGGCAGTACGCAGTTCTTAAGAAATTTACTACGCTTTCTACTACGGTTTTCTAAAGTTTTTTGTGAAAAAAGAGCACAAGGCAACCCAGGTTTGCAACAGAAATATATGCCCGTTCCATTATTTCTTGAGGAAAGAGTGAGGCAACAGGCTGTGAAGTATCAAAAATGTCAAAATTCCTTGGACACACACACGAAATAATGGCAATTTTTTCTTGACCGTTTTCTTGAGAGCTGCATACAGGGCTTTATAGGCGTATTTTGCCTCACGCAGCAGAAATTCAAGCTTCCCTCAGTGAGTGCCTGAAAACAGCGCCCATCTCGCTGTAAATCCTTTAGAGAATACACAAAGCCCACGTTTTTTGTCGAATTAAAGTTTAAAATTTGTTATTTAATTTTCCGTTGTCAACGAATAAGAATAAAGTAAATGTCAAATAATTGTTCAGTGATTGCAAATCAGTTTTAGAATAGGGAATGAGGTAGTTTAGTACTTTTTTTAAGGCGGTAAAATGTAGTTTTTTCAAGAGGGAAACATCGATTTTGCTAAGGGAGTCAAGATGGCGGATTAGAGCGAGAACGCTGTCAATATCCAACACCTTGTATTATTCCACCATGGTACCGACCATGATACAAAAAACAAGGTAGTTCCATTGTCACTTTTTCGTCGCCATATTAACAACCTGACAATTAAGCAGATTGTGACATTTCGTGCTACCATACCCAATATCTAAAATCCTTCAAATTTTCTTATTAATGTTTTGTCGATTTAAAAATATTTTGTTCTTAAGCATAGCATAATAAGAAATAAACAAGAAATAAGTGTTAAATTCCACAACATTTCGTTGATACATTTTTGCAACATGAAGCTAGCAACACAATTTTCATGACATTTTTAAATACACATGTACATTTTAAATTGTGTGATAGCTGACAGTTTATAGAATTCAGTAGCGACGAAAACAAAGGGGGGTTAAGTGGTTAAACCTTACCCAAGTCGATCATAAAACTTGCGACGCAATTTCGGCTTATGCCTGTGGGTCTTGGCAAGAATATAATCCCTGAAGGTTTAGCTTAAAATGGTTTTCGGGATACACCCTGTGATCATGTTACTTTCCAGAAGGTGTGGCGCCCGTTTTTCTGTACATATTTCCATTGGAAAAATGCCTCATCTCAGTATGCTAGGTAAATGCTTCCAGAGGTTTTTATGCGTCACCAGAATTTTAGTTTATTTGGCTTATACCGCTAGCTCTTTTGAACGGCTACGAGATTGTTTTCATATACCCCCATTTTTCATAGGTTTGGGATTGATTTCATTTACCTCTATTCCTAGTTCTACGGTGGCATGCCGCATTTTCCAATAAACTCTTATTTTTCCATGAGCTTAAGATTGACTTCATATACATATATCCATACAAAGTTCCAGGACACTACCACAAATACTTCCAGAGATATCCACTATGAAAAATTCGATTTGTATGGAAGGTTCTACACGCCCTTTAGATATCGGTTTTGTTTTAGCCTATAACCATTATTGGAAAACTTGTGTCCGAAATTTCAAAAAAATCGGCATTGTGACTCCTCAAGCGAAATGATTGCAAAATAAATAATATAAAAAAAACTTTTTAATATACAACGCTTTTATAAATGGACTAAAAAGTAGAAAATAATATTTCTCAGTCCCATAGAATTTGTTTTGATAACTTTTGATTTTGAGATTTTAGCAAAAGTCGTTATAACCAATTTATGAGATTGAAAATGAAAAGCGTGGGGCGCATATAATAGCCACCTGAATTGATATGAAGGGTAATATATGTTCGTATGTATGTGGATATATGAATAACGACCGCTTAAAATCGATCTCAAATTTGTACTTTCGCTGAAGAAATTTTAGGTCTATGTTATGTAGTTTGCCTATTGTCAATTAAATATAATGCTTTGTATTGCATGCGCTCCACGCTTTTCATTCTCAATCTCATAAATTGGTTATAACGACTTTTGCTAAAATTTCAAAATCAAAAGTTATCAAAACAAATTCTATGGGACTGAGAAATATTATTTTCTACTTTTTAGTCCATTTATAAAAGCGTTGTATATTAAAAAGTTTTTTTTGATAGTATTTATTTTCTACTTTTTAGTCCTGTCTGAATAAAATTTTGCAATAGATAT